GCGGTCTCCTCACGCGAGGGCGCGGGCGAGGAGGGCAAGCAGCGCACGCTCACTACGCTGCTGGAGAAGGTGGAGGGCTGCAGGCACCTGCTGGAGGCGGGGCAGTACCTGGTGTACAACGGGGACCTGGTGGAGTACGAGGCGGACCACATGGCACAGCTGCAGCGCGTGCACGGCTTCCTTATGAACGACTGTCTGCTCGTGGCCACCTGGCTGCCGCAGCGGCGCGGCATGTACCGCTACAACGCGCTGTATCCGCTGGACGGTCTGGCTGTGGTCAACGTCAAGGACAACCCGCCCATGAAGGACATGTTCAAGCTACTTATGTTCCCCGAGAGCCGCATATTTCAGGCGGAAAACGCCAAGATCAAGCGCGAATGGCTGGAAGTGTTGGAGGAGACCAAAAGGGCCCTAGGTGAGAAGAGACGGCGGGAACAGGAGGCCGCCGCTGCCCCTCGAGGGCCACCGCAGGCAACCCCCAAGGCTGGCAACCCGTTCGAGGAGGACGATGAGGAAGAACCAGCGCTTCCTGAGGTGGAGGAGGAGAAGGTGGACCTCTCAATGGAGTGGATCCAGGAGTTGCCCGAAGACCTGGATGTCTGTATTGCCCAGAGGGACTTCGAGGGCGCAGTGGACCTGCTGGACAAATTGAACCACTATCTGGAAGATAAGCCCAGCCCACCTCCTGTGAAAGAACTCAGGGCCAAGGTGGATGAACGGGTTCGACAGTTAACCGAGGTGCTGGTATTTGAGCTTTCCCCAGATCGGTCACTGAGAGGTAGTCCCAAGGCCACTCGCAGGGCAGTTTCTCAGCTGATCCGCCTTGGCCAGTGCACCAAAGCCTGTGAGCTGTTTCTGAGGAACAGGGCAGCAGCGGTGCACACTGCCATACGCCAGCTTCGCATTGAAGGAGCCACTCTGCTCTACATTCACAAGCTGTGCCATGTCTTCTTTACCAGCCTTCTTGAGACAGCGAAGGAGTTCGAGACAGACTTTGCAGGCACTGATAGTGGCTGCTACTCTGCCTTTGTGGTCTGGGCAAGGTCAGCCATGGGCATGTTCGTGGATGCTTTCAGCAAGCAGGTGTTTGACAGCAAGGAGAGCCTCTCGACAGCTGCAGAGTGTGTGAAGGTGGCCAAGGAGCACTGCCAGCAGCTCGGGGACATCGGACTGGACCTCACCTTCATCATCCATGCCCTGCTGGTGAGAGACATCCAGGGGGCCTTACACAGCTACAAGGAGATCATCATCGAAGCCACCAAGCACCGAAACTCTGAGGAGATGTGGAGGAGGATGAACCTGATGACCCCTGAGGCTCTGGGGAAGCTCAAGGAGGAGATGAGAAGCTGTGGGGTCAGTAATTTTGAGCAGTACACCGGCGACGACTGCTGGGTGAACCTGAGCTACACAGTGGTGGCCTTCACCAAGCAGACCATGGGGTTCCTAGAGGAGGCGCTGAAGCTGTACTTCCCAGAACTGCACATGGTCCTCCTGGAGAGCCTGGTGGAAGTCATCCTGGTTGCCGTGCAGCATGTGGATTACAGTTTGAGGTGTGAGCAGGATCCAGAGAAGAAGGCATTTATCAGACAGAATGCGTCCTTTCTGTATGAAACAGTCCTCCCTGTGGTGGAGAAGAGATTTGAAGAAGGTGTGGGGAAACCTGCTAAGCAGCTCCAAGACCTGAGGAGCACATCCAGACTCATCCGGGTGAATCCCGAGAGCACAACTTCAGTGGTCTGAGGATTCTGTTTTGTGATACTTAAATGTGGCTTGTGTGTCATTTATATTTATGTTAAGTTACATTATCGTATTCCTTATGGTCTCAGTGTAAAAATGAAGGTACCTCTTAGGCTAAATCAAAAGAAGAAAGAACATATGCTAATTGAAGCACAAATGAGAAAAAGACTAGAAAAACGTATACCATGCTTTCCTTTTAAATTATGGTAATTCCTTAATGAATGTATTCATTAGCTAACAGCTTTCGATTCTCTGGATCAGCTGATGAATGTATGGTTGCTGGAGTACTTCAGCTTGTCTTTTGAATTAAAACACTCTGTACATTATGCAGCATGGAGAAACAAGATCTGTAAAGACAGAATTCAAGGATGTTGGGAAGTATCCCAGTTCACCAGAATATTAGGTTTTTTAAAGGGTACAGTGCCATATAAAACACCCTGCCTCATGCACTTCTTCTTTTTAAACTGTAATGAACAATTTGGGGGAAAGAAAGGAGTTGGGAAGTTAGTTTTAGAGAAAATTTTAGTCACAAGACTTCTTTCTTGGAACTAGCTCATGTGTGGGTATCAGACACTTCCATCCTTACAGGGTACCAGAAGCAGATTCATAAAAAACATTTGGACACTCCCAAGTTTGTAATTTGAAAGCTGATTAATTTGAGTTGCTGACTAGCAGCTTTATAATATTTTGTTGGGGAGCATTTACTTGGAAATCTGAAAGACCATGTTAAAAATTTTTTTCAACACATTTTGGATTGTGTGAAATTCCAGCTGAAGCTTTTTTGTCTTTTGTCATATTAAATAAAGTACTAACAACAACAAAACACACACTGAGGAACCTGGCAGCATTCAGTGACTTGAGACTTCCCACTTCTTCAGTGTAGCTTACAGAGTGGCTCCGTATTCAGGCAAATGGAAAAGTTTCCACCAAGATATTTATTTAGCAAGGTAAGGTGGTGCATACCTGTAATTTCAGTGTTTTGGGAGACTGAGGCAGGAGGATTCCAAGCCTGGGTAATTTAGTGAGACCTATCTTTAAAAATACAAATGCTGGGAATGGGGTCAGCGGTAAAGCATCTGTGGGTTCAGTCCCCCATACCAAAAGGAAAAAAAATCTGACAATACAGATTTTTTTTTCCTTTTTGTACTAGGGATTGAACTCAGGGGCACTCGACCATTGAGCCACATCCCCAGCCCTGTTTGTATTTTGTTTAGAGTCAGGGTCTCAGGGTCTCAATGAGTTGCTTAGCACCTCACTTTTGCTAAGGCTGGCTTTGAATTCTTCCTTTCTCAGCCTCCTGAGCCGATAGGATTATAGGTGTGCACCACCGTGCCTGGCACAGATTATTTTTTTTTTAATTATTTTTTTGTAACAAAGTAGAGAACAAAGTTGAGATTGGATGTGCCCAAAGCACAGGGAAAAGAGACCCTGTGTAACTTCAGAATGGTCCGCACTGCATTTTCTTTTTTAAAATTTTTTTGGAGGCTATTGCTTTTCTTCTTTCTTTCTTTATATATATATATATATATATATATATATATATGACTGTGGAATGCATTCTTATTTCGAACTGCATTTTCTTATTTTGTGTTTATGGCTTTTTTTTTAAGAGAGAGAATTTTAATATTTATTTTTTAGTTTTTGGCAGACACAACATCTTTGTATGTGGTGCTGAGGATCGAACCTGGGCCGAACGCATGCCAGGCGAGCGCGCTACCACTTGAGCCACATCCCCAGCCCTATGGCCTTTCTTTTTTAAAGGCTCTCAGATTCACCCCCTCCCTGCCTTTTAATGGGGGAGGCACTTAATCACTGAGCTACATCCCCAGCCCCTTTTATTTTGAGATAGTGTTTCACTAAGTTGCTGAGGCTGGCCTTGAACTTGCCACTCTGTCTTAGCCTCCCAAGACACTGGGATTTACAGGTGTGTACCCCCACACCCAGTTAAAGGACCTCAGATTATAATGCTTACTTCAGATTGTTTAGTAAAACAAACTAAAGAAATGCTTCTGGGTGTGTTGACATATATATTCATATATATAACACTTCTCCTATTTCAGAGAAATTGTGTTTGCCGAGATTCATTTTTTTTTCCCCTAGCTTCTAATTGTGATTTTTGTCCCCAAGTCGTTTTTCTCATGCCCATGACTTCCATAGGTCATTCTTTTATCTGGATAAATGGTGGTGTTGAGGCTGAAGATTGTGTGAAACCTAAACATGATCTAAAGAGTAGCTCAGAGCTATAACACTCCTTGACCTAATAGCTCAAAAGCCAAAACAGCACAGTTTTTAGCTATCCATATTTAAAAGGCCGGAAAGTATCAGAGTTGTCTCTTAGTTTTTGTTTTTTTTTTTCACATAACTTGGGATTTTCTAGATAACCATAACTGGATATATCAGCTGAACAGATATAACTTCTTTTTTAAACATCACTGGAAACTTGAATTTTATAAAATTTTGTGATTATTATGATTATTCTGTGTCATTTATCTGACATATAGTATAAAACATACTATGTAAACCTGTGACTTTGGGTCTGTAAAATACTTTTGAAATGGAAATTTATCTTATGGTATGAATCATGAATGTGTATTCTCATACATAAATGGTTCCTTCTTCATAGAACTATCTGCTTTTTAAAGCTGGAATTTCAAAATTTTCTTTTGCAAAAGTCTGTGGGCTCCTTAATCTGAATTGTAGCTGGAGGAAGTATGCTTCTGTGAATCAACTGGCATGGGAGGTAGACTAAAACCACTAGGGTGGTAATGCACCTTTGTGCCCAGACAGAATAATTCAGGTTGTATTCCTCAGAGTGCAGTCAGAGCGCCCCTGTTCTTTGGTTTCATTAGATTTCAAAATAAGTTCTAAAAATTGAATGAATTTAGAGATTGTCCAGAAATATAGTAGATACCAAGATGCACCACTGTGGACTACCATCTCTTGTGTGCTTTGAGCATACCTGTCACTGAGCTTGGGATCACAGACTTGATTGAATTAATTGTTGGGAAAAAGACACCCTTGGAATTAAGTCTCTTTTGATTAAAGCCTCTTTTCATGTAGGTGTTAAAAACTCACTTATTTTTATACAAAACACTATCTGTAGTTTAATTATCAGTATATGTTTCTTCAACTTGGCATCTTACCGAGGATTGGAAATCTGGGACTTTACATGTAGTATAAAATCCGTGTGTGCATTTTGCTTTTGATATGCTGTGATATTAGAAAATCTTAAAGTGTTTTATAAAATAAAGCTTAAAACATGCCTACACTGGATAAAATTGATAATACAATGTTATTTGCATTTTTCTTTAATTGGGATTTAATATGTTCTTTTAACTATTCTTTGTTGTTTTTATTTTCTATTATTTATGTAGGGAAGACTGAAAGCTGCTAGCTAATTTAAATAAACATTCTGCTGTCAGAGTTGTGAATAAATTGGATCTAAACATTTTAGGATTCCCTTGTGGGAAGTTTCACCTGTACAAAATGTGAATTTACTCTAAAAAGTAAGTTTTATGCTATCTGCACATTCTTGAATGAAGAAAGTGTAACATAGGCTACAAGATGTAGGAACTAAATTATAAGGTTCTACTTTTTTAAAGTAAAATGCAAGACAGATGTAGTGGCACACACTGGTAATCCCAGCAACTTGGGGAGCTGAGACAGGAGGATGGCAAGTTCAAAGCTAGCCTGCACAACTTAGTGAGATCTTGTCTCAAATAAAAAGGGCTCCGGGTATAGCTCATGGTATAGTGCTCGTGGCTTCAATGTCCAGTACCATAAATAAATAAATAATAAAATAATTTGCAGATAGTGAGGATACCCACATTTAAAAGAATTGAATGCTAGGCTTTATGAAGACTGAGGGTGGAGAGGGCCCTAAAGACTGGAAAAGAGAGATGCTCAGCTGTGTGCAGGGGGACACTGAGGGAGGGAGCAGTGTAATTCTGAGTGGGAAATTCTCATGGGGTCCTGGTATAAGCATACGGTGTAGGACTCAAAGCCAGCATCTCTGACAAAGCCTTCAGAAACCCACTCCCAAGAGGTGGCCCTTGGTAAGAAATCCACATGTGTCCAGAAACCCCACTTCCAAGAGGAGGTGACCCTTGGTATAAGAGTTCCACATGTGTTTTCCCTAAAATTGGATTATACTGTGCATGCAGCTCAGCATATTGCTTTCATTCACATAACAATTCAGTTTTGTTTTTTGATACTGGGGATCAAACCCAGGGCCACTTTACCACTTATATCCCAGCCCTTTTAATTTTTGAAACAGGATCTTGCCAAGTTGCCTAGATTAGTTTTGAATTTCCCATTCTCCTGCCTCAGCTCCTGAGCTACTGGGATCATAGGCATGTGCCACCACACCTAGCTACAATTCAGTATTTTTTTGGTGGGGTGGAGTGGGGGTACTGGGAAGTGAATCTAGGGGCACTAACCATTGAGCAACTCTGCCACATCCCCAATCCTTTTGGTATTTTATTTAGAGACAGGGTCTCACTGAGTTACTTGGGGCCTAGCTAAATAGCTGAGACTGGCTTTGAACTTAAGATCCTCCTTGCCTCAGCTTCTCAAGCTACATAGATTAAAAGCATGCACACCCAGCTACAATTCAGGTTTTGTGTGTGTGTGTATGTGTGTGTGTGTGTGTGTGTGTTGCTGGGGATTGAACTCAGGGCCTTGTGCATGTGAGGCAAGCACTCTACCAACTGAGCTATAGCCCCAGCCCTACAATTTAGTATTTTTAAAATATTTTTATTTTATTTATTTTTATGTGGTGCTGAGGATCAAACCCAGTACCTCACAAGTGTGAGGCAAGCGTTCTGCCACTGAGCCACAACCCCAGCCCATACAATTCAGTATTTCTAAGACATTACCTCACACCAATGGTATAGCTGTACCTTACTGTAGGGGTTTCTGTTTGCTTTTGTTTTCCTGTGATGGTTTGGTCTTCAACCACAATGATAAACTATAATTTTGCTTTTTCCAGTTACTTTGGAACAGCCCCTCTGTTGGCTTAGCAGCACTGCCAGGGTCGCCCTCAGACACCTGCCTCCTTCTGAGTTCAGCTGGGCCGTGATGGAAAGCAGGACTCTTTCCCCCACCTGCTTCCCTTCATCCTCCCACCAGAGTGTGGAAGCATTGAATGTGGGGCAGAAAGTAATTTTAATGTCACCTTTCAATGTGGGGCAGAAAGTAATTTTAAGGTCACCTTCAACTTTGATCATATTTTTTAATCAGTTATCAAACTCTGACCTGCTCTAGGTCTGCTGCATGGTTCAACCTGGAATCTCTCTTTCCTGTTACCTGGACAATTCTCTCCTTTTTCTGTTAGACTCCCCGCTTTAGACACCATCTCTTTCCACTGGTTTACCATTTTAGTTAGGTCCATCTTTCCGGATGTGGAGAAAATTGATATTTTACACCCTGAATGTTTAAAAATATTTTTCTACTCTCATGGTTGTCTCATAGTTAAGCTGGATATAGAATCCTAGATTTGAAATAATTTCCCCTTAGGATCTTGAAAAGCATTACTCCATGATCTTCTAGTTTCTAAAGTTTCTCTCAAGTCAGATTCATTCTGTTTCCTGAACAACTACTTGCTTTCTTGAAAAGTCTTTAACATCTCTTCTGTATAAGTCCTGAAGTGTCAGGTGGAGTGCTTTCTAGTCCTCATTCTTGTTCCCTAGCAGACCTTTCAATAGGTGTGTACCTTCAGTGCTGGGACATGTTCTTGCATTGCTTCCTTTTACTGTGGGGCCTGGTCTTCAGACAGACAACTTTTATTATCGGTCTCTCCAGAGCATGTCTGCTGTCTTCTGGAAGGAG